GCGGATCACGAGGTCAGGAGTTTGAGAACAGCCTGGCCAATATAGTGAGACCCTGTCTCTAATCTCTACTAAAAATACAAAAAAAAAAATTAGCTAGGCGTGGCGACGGGCACCTGTAGTCCCAGCTACTTGGGAGACTGAAACAGGAGAATTGCTTGAACCCAGAAGGCGGAGGTTTCAGTGAACGGAGATCGCACCACTGCACTCCAGCCTGGGTGACAGAAAAAAAAAGAAAGAAATCACTTGTTTTGCCGGGCGCGGTGGCTCAAGCCTGTAATCCCAGCACTTTGCGAGGCCGAGGCGGGTGGATCACGAGGTCAAGAGATCGAGACCATCCTGGTCAACATGGTGAAACCCCGTCTCTACTAAAAATACAAAAAAAATTAGCTGGGCATGATGGCGCATGCCTGTAATCCCAGCTACTCAGGAGGCTGAGGCAGGAGAATTGCCTGAACCCAGGAGGCGCAGGTTGCGGTGAGCCGAGATGGCGCCATTGCACTCCAGCCCGGGGAACAAAAGGGAAAACCCCTCTCAAAAAAAAAAAAAAAAAAGAAATCACTTGTTTCAACCTTCCTATTTTATAGGTGAGATGACTGTGGCCCAGAAAGGATCAGGAGCAGAATCTAGACCAGGCTCTGGTTCCCTATCACAGAGGCCAGGATGCCCCTGTGGTTTATTTACTCACAGAATTTGGGCTGGCTCTAAGGAGCAATGGGAGGGGCTCAGGCCAGCTGCGATGCTCCTTTTGGTAGAGCTGTACTTGCCAGGTGCCTGGAAGTGAGCATCTGGGCATGTGAGCTGGAAAGGGGATGCTGGTGGGCTCTCAAGACTCACCAGGCCCATTGTCTGGCATGTGGCACTCATGCCATTTCTTAGAGCTTCCACTTCCCAGTCTGAGGCTCATTCCCTCACTCCTGCTATCTCTGCTTCCTCTGGGCCCCTTCCTGCAGCCGCTTAGCCCCTGTTCCTGGCTTTGTGTGCTGCCAAAAGCACCAGGGACTAGGTGACAGCAATGTGACCTTGGAGGTTCCTTGTACCCTCTGGGCCTTGGCTTTCTCATCTCTATATTGGAAAAGACCACATCCCCTTCACAGAGTGGCTGTGGGGTCACAGGAGATGCTGACTGTGGAGAGCCTTTGGAAGCTGCCAAGGCAGGGACAGAGCATGGACTTTGGTGTTAGAGCAAATCTGGGTTCCAGTCCTGGCTCCATTCCCACCAGTTAACCAGAAGCTCTTCTCTCTTCTGAGTCTCAGTTTCCTGAGCTGTAAGTTGGGGAAATAGTGCCTGTCTCACAGGAGCAATGTGAAGAATGACGAGGTAGTAACTGCCTGGCACACAGAGCTTCAGCACCAGCACCGTGAATGCTGAGTATTGCTCAGCTCAGCTCTCTGTCAGTGGCTCCACCTTCCAGGCCTGGGTTGGCTTGAGCACCAGACCTGCCATAAGCTTGACCTTTGGGATGGATTCAGGATTAGTCCTGATGTTTACCTTGGCTCAGCTTCCTAAGATGAAGTGACTGAGCTGGGAAGGGTAGGGCAAGTGAGAGAAGTAGGCTCCCACCCACTTCTCTGTGGGTTACTGTGGCAACCTTGGACCAGCAGAGGCCAGTAAATAGTGCGGACTGGGCCCTTTGGTTTATCTCAGCCCGTGTCTGGAGAATCTCCTCCCACAAAGTAGCTACCTCTTGTTGCCTAGTAACAAAATGAAGAAGCTGTAGGTTCCAAGTGAAGAAACATGGTGTTCAGATCTCGGGGCTGAGGTTCTTGGGGTTGCAGAGGACCTTCAGCATTTAGGGACCTGTGCTGAGTACAGCTTCTCACCTCAAGAACTAGAGGGGCTGATTGTGAAATGGCAGGAGTTTCCCAGGCAGGTAACCTTTTGCTTCCAAGCCTATGACTCTTGCTGTAGAGCAGAAGATCCTGGGGTGAGAAGGGAGACAGGGCTGGAGATGGATGGGACAGGGAATCTCGAATGCCACTTGGAAGAGAAAGAACTTAACCTATGCCTGGCGTCACACCAGGGGCTTTCCATTTAGTTGTCACTACATCCTCAGCGGTAGATTGTTACTATTCCCATTTTACAGATGAGAAAGTTGAGGTTGGACATCACATAGCTGGTGGGCAATAAAGTCAAGTCTTGTTTGGCTTCAGGGTCATTTCTCAGTCCAGAGAATCCTGAGTGCTGAAGAGGAGGAACGTTGGCTTTCTGTGATCCCAAGGGGTACCAGTCCTGGGCACCTGCTCATCCGTCTGTCGCCCCAGCTGTCAGTGTCCCTAATGCCCACTTCTGGGCTTAATACACCAGGGGGCGCTCAATGTGTGGTCTGGTCCTCATCACTTTGTGCAGTGGAATGAGCTGGCAATGGGCCACGTTATCCTTAATCAGACATTCGGTGTACACTGTTGTACACAGGAGGGCCTAAAATGAAGTCAGCATCCCCCACTCTCCAGGAACTCCCAATCTTTGGGCAGAGGGTGGAGACAGGAAAGCCATGTGGTAGGTGCTGTGATGGGGCAAGAGCACAGCTGTGGGCACACAGAAACTCTGCTCTGTGCCATGCCCTGTGTTGGGCAGAGACATATACCACCACCTTCCAGGTGCCCATATTTCTCTCTAGCCTGATGAGATGAGCATGTTCCCAGGAAACCCAGCTTATGGCATCTGAGTTCAGGGCTAAGTGTGGACCAGAGACGTGGTCATTGCTGTGCATGGCAGAGGAAGAAGAGTTGGGATAGGCTCTAGGGCACAGGCCACGTTCCCTGTAGAGCTGGCATTTGGCTGGGCCTCGAAGGGCAGGATTTGGGCAGCTGGAGAAAGAATTGGGCCTTCCAGGTGGAAAAGGGGTAGGGAAGGGAGTCAGGGATTCTGAGTCCAGAATCCTGCACGTGTTTTTTGTTTGCCTTGTAACCTTGGATAAGTCACTTGCCCTGCTGAGGCTTGGGTTCTTTCCTGAAAAATTAAAGGAGAATAACACCTACTTCTCAGGGCCACCTGGAAAAGAGAATGTGGTGTATATAAATTAAAGTATCTAACAGGGCTTGTGGCACAATATTGCTGTTTAATGCTTGCTTATTTTATTCATTTCAGGCAGAAAGCAGGATTTGGGATTTGGGATTTGGGTTTTAGGAGCGGTAGTGTGGACAGCCTCCAGGGTGAGAACTCTCTGGATCCCCTCAGCACCTAGGTGCATCTGGTACCCTCAGGCACACCAGGGCTCCATTTGCCCTCCCTCCCTTCCTGGGAGTGGACTGGGCATCCCAGACCCCCTCCCCCAGCTATCTCCGGAGCTGGACCCCTTTGTAGCGCCTGCAGCTCTATTTTGAGAGCTGAGCATCTCCCCTCCCCTCCTCTCTTCCTGTTTATGAAACCCTGATCCCTCCCGGATCCCTCATGCTCCCCTGGCCAGAGCTTAGGCAGGATGTGACTGTGGACTTCAGGGAGCCTCGGGCAGCCTCAGGTGTTGAGAGGAACTTCCCTTGGCCTGGCCAGAGAAGGCTGGCCACACTCCTAGTACCTGGGGCCCTGTGGCTGGGCTCTGTCCCTTCAGCCTGTCCAGGGGAGACCCCACAGCAGTAAGACTATCAAGTAAACCTGGGAGAAGTTGTGTTTCCAACATCCCCTTATCTCTGTGGCCATTTTGCTTTTAGAAACAATCTGAGAGTGGAGCATATTGTTCTAACATTCATTTTACAGAGGAGGAAACTGAGGTTCAGACAGGGAAAGAGATTTGCCCTGAGCACTCAGCTAGTGAGTGGCCAGTTCTTCTGACTTCCCACCCTACCCTCCTGGCCATAAGCCCCTTGCTCACACAGGTCTTTCTCTACGTAGAGTTTCTTTTTTCCTCCTTTCTGCCTGGCCAACACCTGTTCATCCTCAGGACCCAGGTGGGCTGCCTCGCTCTGGAAGGTCTTTCCTGACCTCACCCACTGGCAGATAGTCACCACCTCTGGACACCCACAGCACCTTAATTATGGATGTCTCAGGATAGTTGCGGTTTTTTGGGTTGGTTTTGTTTTCAGACAGGGCCTCCCTCTGTTGCCCAGGCTGGACTACAGTAGCGCAACCACAGCTCACTGTAGCCTTGACCTTCTAGGCTCAAGTGATCCTCCTGCCTTAGCTACCAGAGTAGCTGGGACTACAGGTGCATGCCACCATGCCCAGGAGTTCAGCACCAGCCTGGGCAACACAGGGAGACCCAGCCTCTACAAAATTAAAAAAAAAAAGTTAGCTAGGTGTGGTGGTGCACACTTGTCCTCCCAAGCTTACTCCAGAGGCTGAGGTGGGAGGATCACTTGAGCCCAAGAGGCTGCAGTGAACCATGATTGTACCACTGCAGTCCAGCCTGGGCGACAGAGAGGGACTTTTAAAAAAAAAAAAAAAAAAAAAAAAAAGCCAGGCACAGTGGCTCACGTCTATAATCCCAGCACTTTGGGAGGCAAGGTGGGTGGATCACCTGAGCTCAGGAGTTCAAGACCACCCTGGGCAACATGGTGAAACCTTGTCTCTGCTAAAATACAGAAAAATTAGCCAGGTAGGCCGGGCGCGGTGGCTCAAGCCTGTAACCCCAGCAACGTTGGGAGGCCGAGGCGGGTGGATCACAAGGTCAAGAGATCGAGACCATCCTGGTCAACATGGTGAAACCCCGTCTCTACTAAAAATACAAAAAATTAGCTGGGCATGGTGATGCGTGCCTGTAATCCCAGCTACTCAGGAGGCTGAGGCAGGAGAATTGCCTGAACCCAGGAGGCGGAGGTTGTGGTGAGCCAAGATCGCGCCATTGCACTCCAGCCTGGGTAACATGATTGAAACTCCGTCTCAACAACAACAAAAAAAAACACATTAAAAAAAAAAAATTAGCCAGGTATTGTGGAGTGCACCTGTAGTCTCAGCTACTCTGGAGGCTGAGGCACAAGAACCACTTGAGCCTGGGACGTAGAGGCTACAATAAGCTGAGATCGCACCACTGTACTCCAGCGTGGGTGACAAGAGTGAAACTCCCTCTCAAAAAAAAAACAAAGGCTGTATGCAGTAACTGCTCGATCAGTAGGAGGCACACTTGCTAGCATGTCTCCATGTGAGTCCTGACCTATTGTGGGAGGCCGGCTCCCCCTCAAGGCTGCCAGGGAGCTGTGGACCCCTCCTCACCTGCCTGGGGGCATGCTGGGAGATGCATGGAGGACATCTGGCCCACCTGAGGGAGGGTCCTGCAAATGCTGCCAGCTGGGGAAGGGGCTGTTGGTGCCCTTTAGGGCCAGGATTAGCAGGTGGGCTTGGCTACAGCTGGCAGGGTGGGGACCCTGGAGACCAGGGATCAGGCTGGGGGACTCTGAGCTTCTCTTCCAGTTGCCCTGTAGGAGGAAGTAAATAAAGAGGAAGTGCCTATAGGGGGATGGGGCAGGGACCAAGGGATGTGGGCTGGTGGCTGTCCTCCCCCCTCCCACCACCAGAGGCTCATGGCTCACATAGCCTTCAGCAAAGGCAGTTCTGAGACCGTTTCCTTCCTGTTGCCCCTTCTGGTACCCTGCTGGCCACAGAGGCCAGTGTGCACCGGGCTCCTGGTGTATCTCTGCCTGTGACTGGAGAATCTCCTTCCACAAAGTAGCTACCTCTCTACCTTCTTTCTTTGCATCTGAGGGACCAGGGGTTGGTAGGGACGGTGAGCTTTGGGGCTCCGAGGGCTGCCCCAGCCTCCAAACTGGTCAGAGGAAGCTGGAGAGCAAGGAGAGGCTTGGCCTGAGGGAGGCGTCTTTCACAATCTCCCAGCAACATCCACCCGCAAAGACTCTGCAAGGACAGGGAAGGGGAAGTCCGTGGGGGCGTGGGGGTGCGTATTTCTGCATAGGGTTGTCTGTGGACAGGGTTTCCGATCATCAGCTTGAGTGTGTGTTTGTGTGCGTGTCAGTTCCTGTGCCGTACTTGTGTGAGTGATGAAGTGAGGCCACATGGAAAGGGGCTGGGCCTGGTCAACCCCTGCCCCATAGCGGCCTCCTGCTCCTCTCAGACCTCTGAGAGGTTCTTGGTCGGGCTTTCTGCCCACCTTGCCCATCCTGGGGCTTGGTACTGGCAGCCTTCTTCAGGGCAGCTGAGCAGGGCAGGACCCGGTACATTGCTGCCTGCTTTCTCAGCTGCCATTCTGGGCGGGCCTAGCCAGGGAAGGATGCTATGGGGGATGTAGTATCTAAGCTCTGGGCTGGACAGTCAGACAGTAGCCTTTGCTGACTTTTGCCCCACGTTCTCTCAGGGCCCCCCCACCATGGATGTTTGCGGGGTGCTGAGATGCTCACTGTGTCACTGCCTTATCACCTTGTGACTTCTGTCTCTGCTCTTGTCTCTCCTCCTTAGAGTCAGAGGACATAGGGAGGAGCATGCCCCTGGGCCTGCCCTGGGCTCATGGGCTTGGGGTCTGCGGTGTCCTCTCTTCTGCAGAGGAGCCTGACCCATCTTCTGTCCCTCCTCCCTGCAGAGGGAAGTGAGAAGGAGGGGGGCCAGGGACCCTGCCTTCTGGGCCAGGAAGGCTAAAAAAAAAAGCAGAAGTAAGAGGAGTAACGGGGCCCTCTGGCCACTGGCTTGAGCCCTACCATGCAGACCCCGGCAGATTTCGCCAGGGTTGAGAGAGACTTGGTTTCCTGTCCCAGAAAGGTGAGCAGAAGAGTGGTCTGTCTCCAGCAGTGTCTGTCACTGTGACTCTGGGCAAGGAATGGGTTTGGGGGCGGCTCTGTCCCCTGGGGTTTCCGGGTGGTTTCCTGCCTCTGTCCCCAGGGAGTGTTCTCAGTCAGGGGCAGGCAGATGAGGTGGGGCTCAGATCTCAGGGTGGGGTGTGCAGGTATTGCTGTGTGGCCTTGGCCCCTCTCAGTCCCTCTCTGAGCCAGGCTTTCTGCCTGTCTCACCAGAAGGTTACACTCAGGGATCTGATTTGACTGCAGCTTTCTGGTTTTTTTGTGAGGTTGTTCCACCCACACCTCCATCTGAGAGGGTTAGGTATCTTCCCCTGAGATAAGATTGTGTCTCCAAGGGCCAGGACCTAGAGTGGAGGGTCCCAGATGGACCCTAGTGCTGAAGGAAGAGGGGGTTTGGGCAGATGTGATGGCAGGATGTGGCTCTGGGTGACTTACCTGCCCACCCTTTCCTGGCACTTGACGCCTGCTGACCACATGCCGGGCAGAAGCAGGGGAGGTGCTTGGGTCCAAGCTGTCTCTGCCACTGTTTGCTTTGAGCCTTGGTGAGTCACTGTCTTCTGGGCCTCAGTTTCCTGTTCCTGGAATGAGGATAACGGATTTTAGGATATGGTCAGAGTTAAATATATCAGATTGCACTCAGGAGATGGTCCTCTCAGCCACTATCTGGACCCCCTTCAGGTCCTGGCATAGGGGAAAATCCTAGGGAAACGAACAGCCTCAGAGGTGGGTCTCCAAGAAATATCAGACTGCTCTCTTGAGTTTGCAGACTGTGTCCCTTCCTCTCTTTCCCCACCCCAGGTACAGCAACAAGAACCCACAGTTCCACGCTTAACCCCTTCCTGGGGATCCCTGCCCTGCTGCCTGCCTGTGTGTCTGCCGGGTGTCAGACCTATCTGCCCTAGGTGTCTGCCAGTCTACTTGGGCCTCACTGACTCCGGCGGTTTCTCTTTGCTGCCTATTTGTGTCTGTTGTTGGGTTCCAATCTCTGTCTCCACTTGATAAGTACCTGCCTTCACCTGTTGGGCACATGTCACATGTTAGGTGCCTGTTGTTCATGTCCCCTTCTGTCTCTGCCTGTTGGGTTCATGTCTTCATCTGTCTCTGCCTATTGGATACATGTTCCCTCTGCCTCTACCTGTTTGGTACCTGTCCCCTTCTGTCTCTGCCTGTTGGGTTTATGTCCCCTTCTGTCATTGCCTGTTGGGTTCGTGTCCCCTTCTGTCTCTGTCTGTTGGGTTCGTGTCCCCTTCTGTCTCTGTCTGTTGGGTTCATGTCACCATCTGTCTCTGTGCTGTTGGATACATGTCCCCTTCTGTCATTGCCTGTTGGGTTTATGTCCCCTTCTGTCTTTGCCTGTTGGGTACATGTCCCTTTCTGTCTCTGCCTGTTGGATTTGTGTCCCTGTCTGCCTACACACATTGGGGATGAGCTTCTGTCCACCTCTGTCTGTTAGATATGAGTCCCTTCCTGCTGCTTCTTGTTGGGTACATGTATCCATCTGTTTTCTATCGGATATGAATTTCTCCTGCCTCTGCCTATTGGATAGGTATCCTTATCCATCCCTGCCTGTTGGATATGTGTTCTCTCCTGCCCCTGACTATTAGATGCCATTCTTATCTGTTTCCACCTCTTGGGTGCCTGCTTCTGCCTGTTCGGTGTCTCTCTTCGTCTGCCTCTACATATCAGGCACCTGTCTTTGCCTGTTGGGTACCTGTCTGCTGTTGGGTACCTGTCTGCTCAGCAGCTGCATTGGCAGGGGGCTTTCCCTTTGCAGGCCCCTGCAAAAGGAGGATGGGGGAATGGCCAGAGGGCAGCCCTCAGGCACTGGGGAGGGTGGAGAGAGGAAGGGAACGTGTTGAGGGTGTAGGCCTGGAGCTGGGAAACCACAGACCCTGAGTGATTGGCTGCCCTGGGCCGGGCCCAGCCTCCGCCCTTACCCTGCACATCCGCCTTGGTCCCGGCCACCTCCGCGGCAGCCCCGGACGCTGCCTGCTCCTGCCATGGTGCTGCGGCCCTGCTGGGCGGATGGAGCAGGATCCCAAGCCGCCCCGTCCGCGGCTCTGGGCCCTGCTCCCCTGGCTGCCCAGGAAGCACCGGCCCAGGATCAGCCAGACCTCTCTGCCTGTCCCTGGCCCTGGCTCTGGCTCCCAGCAGGACTTGGTGAGTGTGCCCGGATGTCTGGTCCTGGCCTGGCTGTGTCCCTCGCAGCAGGTGCCTGGGAAGTTAGCTTAGTGCAACTTGGCTTTGGTCTGTCCTGGTCCTGCCGGGGGTAACTGGATCCTGCCCAGACTTGCTTCCTGAGGAGGTGAGGAGGCAGTTGAGGGCTTCAAGGCAATACCAGCAGATTGGAGGGAGGGTAGAGTCCTGGAACGGTGAGTCTCTGGCAAGGCACTTCTAGTAGGTTTGTAGGAGGGAAGTTTGGGAAGATGAGCCATGGAGTCTCCAGCCTTAACTCTGACCTGCCCCAGGCCAGCACTGACTGAGTCGATGGGGGAGTTTGGGTGACTCTTGGGTCTTTGTGCACCTCAGCCCTGTCCTACTGACCAGAGGGATCCCTCATCCCATCCTGACCAGGAACGAAGGCCCAGCTCTACCTCCCCATATGAGAACAAACCTACTTCCTATTGTGGCAAAACTAAAACAGCAGGGGGAGGGAAGCCCCACGGGCAGACCTGGGACAGGTCTCTGGGTCTCAGCCAGAGTCGTGTTGGCTGAACCTGGCCGTGCCTGGGCATCCCTTTGGGCCTAACCAGTCCAGAGCATCAGGAGCAATAGGAGCGGTGCCTGTTCTGGTTTGACCTCACCAACCTTTGAGGCTCTTTTGAAATTGATGTCCCTGGAGGCTAGCCCTTCAGGGAAGTCATCTGTTGGGCCTTTAGGTCCGATCTGCTGCGGTCTGGTGGGAAGGGACTTGGGCGGGGGGGGGTTTGCCTCCTGCTGCCCAGATGGGGCCCACTGTGCCCACCAGCTCTATCCCTCCATCAGGATGAGGGCGTCCTCAAGGAGATCTCCATCACGCACCACGTCAAGGCTGGCTCTGAGAAGGCTGATCCATCCCATTTCGAGCTCCTCAAGGTTCTGGGCCAGGGATCCTTTGGCAAAGTGAGTCGTGAGCCCATGGCTGTGAAGGCAACATTGGTCATGTTGGAGGTGGGGGTTAAGGGTCACCTAGGGGCCCAAAGGATCAGAGGTCACCTTGGTACCCAGGGAGAGCAAAAAGGTCAGCTTGGGGCTCAGAGAAGATACAGGTCATTGGCCAGGTGCGGTGGCTCATGCCTGTAGTCCCAGCACTTTGGGAGGCTGAGGTGGGTCAATCACGAGGTCAGGAGATCAAGACCATCCTGATCAACATGATGAAACCCTGTCTCTACTAAAATACAAAAAATTAGCTGGGTGTGGTGGTGGGCACCTGTAGTCCCAGCTACTTGGCAGGCTAGGGCAGGGGAATCGCTTGAACCTAGGAGGTGGAGGTTGCAGTGAGCCGAGATTGCGCCACTGCACTCCAGCCTGGTGCGGTGGCTCACACCTGTAATCCCAGCGCTTTGGGAGGCCGAGGCGGGTGGATCACGAGGTCAAGAGATCGAGACCATCCTGGTCAACATGGTGAAACCCCGTCTCTACTAAAAATACAAAAATTCAGCTTGGCATGGTGGCACGTGCCTGTAATCCCAGCTACTCAGGAGGCTGAGGCAGGAGAATTGCCTGAACCCAGGAGGCGGAGGCTGCGGTGAGCCGAGATCATGCCACTGCACTCCAGCCTGGGTAACAAGAGCGAAACTCCATCTCAAAAAAAACAAAAAAAACAAAAAAGTAAAGAAAAAAAAAGGCTAGACGTGGTGGCTCACGCCTGTTATCACAGCACTTTGGGAGGCTGAGGCTGGCAGATCACCTGAGGTCAGGAGTTCAAGACCAGCCTAACCAACATGGAGAAACCCCGTCTCTACTAAACATGCAAAATTAGATGGGCGTGGTGGCGCATGCCTGTAATCCCAGCTACTTGGGAGGCTGAGGCAGGAGAATCGCTTGAACCTGGGAGGTGGAGGTTGTGGTGAGCTGAGACCACGCCATTGCACTCCAGCCTGGGCAACAAGAACAAAACTCCATCTCAAAAAAAAAAAAGAAAAGATAGAAGTTAGCCTGGGCTCAGCCCTCTCCCATCTCCCATCTTATCCCCTGCTTCCTGCTCTGCCTTCTCAGGTCTTCCTGGTGCGGAAAGTCACCCGGCCTGACAGTGGGCACCTGTATGCCATGAAGGTGCTGAAGAAGGCGACACTGAAAGGTGAGTAGGGACACCTCCCTGTGCAGAACCCACGCTGGGCTGAGGGAGGCAGCCCACGCTTCAGGGACCTTGGGTCTGGCAAGGAAGACAGCTCTGTCTTCAGAGCACCTAGTTCAAAAGCAGAGAAACAGGCCTATGTCTAAGCCATCCCTCCCCACCCGATGCCCTTCCCCTAAGCCAAGTGCCAATGACTGTGGCTGTGAAGGTCTGAAAGGTAGTACTAGGGTAAATTCACGGCCAGGTGTGGTGGCTCACACCTGTAATCCCAGCACTTTGAGTGACTGAGGCAGGGGGATCACGAAGAGTTTGAGACCAGCCTAGCCAAGACGGTGAAACCCCATTTCTACTAAAAATACAAAAATTAGCCAGGCATGATGGCATGTTCCTGTAATCCCAGCTTCTCAGGAGGCTGAGGCAGGAGAATCGCTTGAATCTGGGAGGCGGAGATTGCGGTGAGCTGAGATCTCACCACTGCACTCCAGCCTGGGCGACAGCGTGAGACTCTGTCTGGAAAAAAAAAAAAAAAAAAACTGGGTAAATGCAATGTGTTTTTCCGGAGAGGGACTCTCAGATACCAAGCTGGTCAGGCAGAGGAGTTCTGACTGTTGGCAGTGTTGTTTCACGATGCTAGAAGAGCCTGAGGGAGACCTCTGTGGCCTCTAACTCATGGGCCTGAGAGAAGGGCGTGAGTAAAGAGGCAGGGAGCCCAGGGAGGCAGCTGGGCAAGGCGAGAGAGGGTGAGTCTAAGCAAGACCACTGTGCTGGGTAGCAGAGAGGTTCAGAAGGGAGCCCGAGCCAAGGTTAGAGTTCTGGGGACTCACAAAGGGTGTGAGGATGGTCAGTAGTAGGCTTTGGGTTGGACACTGACCACCTGGCCTAGGAGCCCGTGTGGCCAATGACCCAGTGGAGTCAGAGCCAACTGCCCTTCCTCGACCATCTGCCAAGTCTCCTTTTAATACAAGTCAAGGCCAGGTCCAGTGGCTCACACCTGTAATCCCAGCACTTTCGGAAGCCAAGGTGGGCAGATCATGAGGTCAGGAGATCGAGACCATCCTGGCCAACATGGTGAACCCCGTCTCTACTAAAATACAAAAAAGTTAGCCAGGCGTGGTGGTGCATGCCTGTAATCCCAGCTACTTGGGAGGCTGAGGCTGGGGACTCGCTTGAACCTGGGAGGTGGAGGTTGCAGTGAGCTGAGATTACGCCACTGCACTCCAGCCTGGCAACAGAGACTCTGTCTCAAAAAAAAAAAAAAGCTGGGCATGGTGGCATGCACCTGTAATCCCAGTCAGAGCCAAGTCCTGGCTGGGGAGGTAGTGGGGGCAGTAGGAGGTGTCAGCTTTAAGGGTGTTATGGCTGGCTTTGGTATCCTAAGACCAGCCTGGTGGGGGTAGGAGTCATCCCCCAGGAGGTATGGTGAGAGCTTCAGAGGGAGGAGAAAGATGAAAAGCCTGGGTCCCTGCTGTGAAGGGCTCACAGGCTGGGCAGGAGAGGCTAAGCCCTGACGGTGCGGTGCAGCCGGTGCTGTGACTGGTATGCAAGGATATCGACGGGCTGAGGAGCTAGGAGTGGTGGGGCAGCCTTGCAGAGGCGGGGCCCGGAGGCCAAGCGGACACCTAAGGAGCAGTAAGCCTCAGAGGATGAGTGGACTTCTCCAGACCAAAAATGGTCGAGGAAGGGGAGCCTGGGAAGGAGAAGCTTTTGCCTGAGCCGAAGTGTAAAGGTGGTTTGAAAATGTAAGGTAGGCTGGGCATGGTGGCTCACACCTGTAATCCTAGCACTTTGGGAGGCTGAGGTGGGTGGATCACTTGAGGTCAGGAGTTTGAGACCAGCCTGGCAAACATGACAAACCCCTGTCTCTACTAAAATACAAAAATTAGCTGGGTGTGCTGGGGCGCACCTGTAGTCCCAGCTACTCAGGAGGCTGAGGCACAAGAATTGCTTAAACCTGGGAGGTGGAGGTTACAGTGGGTTGAGATCATGCCACCGCACTTCGGCCTGGGTGACAGCAAGATTCCATCTCAAAAAAAAAAAAAGAAGGAAAATGTAAGGTGACTAAAATAGTGAACTCTGGTGTAGTCCCTGTCATATCTAGTGAGGAAAATACAAAAAATAGAGGAAGGGGCCTCTGAAGTGAAAAGTGCTCTGAGGGAGCCAGCTCCTGCAGCCCTGGTGCTCACATGGAAGCTGTGTTGGAAGGCAGCTGCAGCTTCTACTTGTAGCAAGGCCCAAGGAGTGTGTCTGGTACAAGACTCTGGAAAGATGTGCAGGAGGAGCACATTGGCCAGGTCTCCTAAGATAAGCAGCTGTGAGCATCAATTCTGGACTGGCAGTGACTGATAAATAGAATTTATACTAGATGGGTGGACTAGTGGAATCTTTGGGACTGTGAGGCTCTGGAGGAAACTGCCAATCCAGTACATGGACCAAAACAAGCCTTTAGTTTTGCACTGTGAGTTGCTCAGAAATTCTGTATGGTCTTAGTAAGCACTCCCTAGCCTCCCACATCTCTTTTTGATAAAAGTCAAGGCCAGGGCGGTAGCTCATGGCTGTAATCCCAGCACTTTGGGAGGCCAAGGTGGACAGATAATTTGAGGTCAGGAGTTCAAGACCAGCCTGGCCAACATGGTGAAACCCTGTCTCTACTACAAATACAAATATTAGCCAGTGTGGTGGTTCGCGCCTGTAGTCTCAGATATTTGGGAGGCTGAGGCACAAGAATTGCTTGAACCCAGGAGGCAAAGGTTGCAGTGAGCCAAGATTGTGCCACTGCACTCCAGCCTGGGTGACAGTGAGACCTTGTTTCAAAAAAAAAGTCAGAGGGCACATGAGAGGTCTCAGTCAAAGGATAATTAACGTATCATCATTGTGGTAAACTTAGTTGAACACAGTGCCCAAAATGAACCTAGGCAGCCAAGTCCAGAAGCCTGTTCCCCCCGCCCCAAGATGGAGTCTTGCTCTATTGCCCAGGCTAGAGTGCAGTGGTGCGATCTCGGCTCACTGCAACCTCCACCCTCCGGGTTCAAGCGATTCTCCTGCCTCAGCCACCTGAGTAGCTGGGATTACAGGCACATGCCACCACGCCTGGCTAATTTTTGTATTTTTAATAGGGAGAAGGTTTCACCGTGTTGGCCAGGCTGGTCTCAAACTCCTGACCTCAAGTGATCTACCCACCTCAGCCTCCCAAAGTGCTGGGATTACAGGCATGAGTCATTGCGCCCAGCCCAAAAGCCTGTTCTAATCAGACTAGTAAAATCAGTAAAACATGATGGTTGGTGGGCTTCAATAAATTTAGAAGGCAACCTGGAAAAGTGAAAAGTGCTCCGAAGGAGAAGCATAAACACTGTAAGAAACCAGAAGACCCTAACTCAGCTTGGGAAATTAAGGAGTACTTCCTGGAGGAGATGAGGCTTGATCTGAGTCAAAGAACCTGCTGAGAGTCAGAACTGCGCAACAACTTTTTTTTTTTGAGACAGAGTCTCACTGTCACCAAGGCTGGAGTGCAGTAGCACAACCTCAGCTCACTGCAGCCTCCACCTCCCGGGTTCAAGCAATTCTCCTGCCTCAGCCTCCCCAGTAGCTGGGACTACAGGCACGTACCACCACACCTGGCTAATTTTTTATTTTTAGTAGACACTTGGTTTCACAATGTTGACCAGGCTGGTCTTGAACTCCTGACCTCATGCGATCTGCCCACCTCAGCCTCCCAAAGTGTTCAGATTATAGACATGAGCCACCTTGCCTGACCACACAACTTTTATTCTTTAAAAAAAAAAAAAAAACGTATATGAAGGGTGCCCACCCAGACCCAAACCTATGCATGGTTCAGGATTTTAGGCCCAGGGAATCTACCTCTCTAGCTCCCCAGATAGCTGTTCTTACCAGCCCCAGACTAGAATTTTGGAATTTTTTTTTTTTTTTTTTGGGACGGAGTTTCGCTCTTGTTACCCAGGCTGGAGTGCAATGGCGCGATCTCGGCTCACCGCAACCTCCGCCTCCTGGGTTCAGGCAATTCTCCTGCCTCAGCCTCCTGAGTAGCTGGGATTACAGGCACGTGCCACCATGCCCAGCTAATGTTTTGTATTTTTAGTAGAGACGGGGTTTCACCATGTTGACCAGGATGGTCTCGATCTCTTGACCTCGTGATCCACCCGCCTTGGCCTCCCAAAGTGCTGGGATTACAGGCTTGAGCCACCGCGCCCGGCCTGAATTTCGGAATTTTTATGCCACATGGAGAGTGGGGCTGGTGAAGGCATGCCAGGAGGAGGTGCAGAGGCAAAATATGAGGATCTGAAAAAACAGGGCACCCAGGGGAGCAGGTTGCTCAGACTGGCTGATTAACAGCCCTTGATGGGGAGTGGTGGGAGAAGGGACCAGAGCAATGGGCCAGGCTCCAAGGCCCCAGCTGTGGTCACTGCTGTGAGGGGTAGGGGCAAGGAGCCTTCCTGGCTCCTGGGAAGGAAGGAAGAAACCTGAGGATTGAGTGTCCCCAAAGCCCTGAGTGAAGGGGCCTTAGGAGCTCAGATGTGGAGGAACAAGTGGAAAAGAGAGCCCTTAGCACGGGCTTGGGAGTGGCTGTGTTGAGTGTCTGACCTGCTGGTGACTTCCTTTCCTGTCTATCCAGTACGTGACCGCGTTCGGACCAAGATGGAGAGAGACATCCTGGCTGATGTAAACCACCCATTTGTGGTGAAGCTGCACTATGGTAAACCTGCAGGCCCTACCTGAGCTCCCACCCCACTCGTCCTTCACCCTTGCCTGTGGGTCTGTACACTGTCCCACCGCCTGCCTGGCAGGCCAAGGGAGCTGGGGCTGGAGGAGCAGGTCACAAGGTCCCACTGACTCTACCATTGCCTTTTTCCCTCTCCCCAGCCTTCCAGACCGAGGGCAAGCTCTATCTCATTCTGGACTTCTTGCGTGGTGGGGACCTCTTCACACGGCTCTCAAAAGAGGTGAGCTGACATCTACTGCCAAAGAGCCCCGGGATAGAGCTGGGGAACGACAAGACCCATCCAGGGCCCTGTACAGAATGTGTTCAATATGGCCTGAACCTGCAACCACCCAGGCCTGCCTAGAAGCCCCTGGCCCAGGAAACACCACTCACCCTGGGATGGAGGCCATACACTGGCAGGGCCTCTGAGAGTTTCTCCCAACAAAACTCCAGGGAACTAAGGGTTCCTCTCACCTAAACACCTGCATTCTTCCAGGGCTGCTCTGGACAGAGCTGTGAAGATTGAAGAGAAGCCCAAAGTCGCCCAGAGAGCCAGAGACTTTAGCAGCCATGTCCCACATGTCATCCAAAAGGATTTGAACCAATAGAAAAGGATTTGAGCTAGAAAATGGGACCATTCATACAATTCAGACTTTAAAGAGAACCCAACTTAAAAAACATTTTTTTAATTGTTATTTTAATGTGTGAATAAGTAATCTATTTATATGATTCAAAAAAAAATATTCATGAAGAAGTCTTCCTCCCACACCAGGCCCCTTATCCATAGGTAAACATTTTTATTGGTTTCTTTTTTTTTTTATAGACGGGGTTTCTCCATGTTGGTCAGGCTGGTCTCGAACTCCTGACCTCAGGTGATCCACCTGCCATGGCCTCCCAAAGTGCTGGGATTACAGGCGTGAGCCACCGTGCTGAGCCTTTTATTGGTTTCTTATTTAACCTTCCCATGTTTCTTTTGCAAACAAATCCGATTTATGCTCTGAATTCCTACCCCCACTTTCTTATGTAAAAAGTACTATTCTGTATGCATTGTTCTATACCTCGCTTTTTTTCAAGATAGTATATCTTGGAGCTCACTCCATATCAAGACATGGAGAAACTCCTTGTTCTAGTTAATGGCTGCAAAGCACTCCATTATGCAGGGGAGACAGCTTATTCCAGCCTTTCCAGTCCTTTCTATTTCTGAACAATGCCACAATGAGTGACTTGCATCTTAGTCATTTCATACTTCAAATCCTCTGTATGACAAGAAGGCTAAATGGCCTGGATCCTCCCAGGGTGGCCCTTTCAGGACCAGGAAGCTGCTGACTACCCAGTGCTCCCGCTCTTAAGGAAGAAGAGGTCCCTGCTGAAGCCCCTCCTGTCTGTTGCAGGTGATGTTCACGGAAGAGGATGTGAAGTTTTACCTGGCCGAGCTAGCTCTGGGCCTGGACCACCTGCACAGCCTGGGTATCATTTACAGAGACCTCAAGCCTGAGAAGTGAGTGAAGCCTCCAGCCACACCCAGCCTCCCCAGGGGAGGCCTCTTCTAGAACAGGGCCATCCTGAGGTGGGTGGGCAAGGCTTTGTCCAGGAACGTCCCCCTGTCTTGGGCAATCTAAGGAATGGGTGAGTGGGGTGGGTGGTAGTGGCAGCTGCCCAGTCTAATGCTACCATTACCAAGGGCCAGGTACATTCCAAGCAGCTTTGTTCCCCACCTTTTTTGCTAATCTAGTGTGACATCTGAGATGCTGCTACCTTTAAAGATCTTTCCTTGATATAGCCCTCTAGAATTTTCCCTAATAGCTAACTACCCTTGGCCAGGTGTGGTGGCTCATGCCTGTAATCCCAGCACTTTGGGAGGCCGAGGCGGGCAGATCAGCTGAGGTCAGGAGTTCGAGACCAGCCTGACCAACATGGAGAAACCCTGTCTCTACAAAAAAATATAAAATTAGCCAGGTGTGGTGACATGCCTGTAATCCCAGCTACGCGGGAGGCTGAGGCAGGAGAATCGCTTGAACCTGGGAGGCAGAGGTTGTGGTGAGCTGAGATTGTGCCATTGCACTCCAGCCTGGGCAACAAGAGTGAAACTCTGTCTCAAAAAAAAAAGCGTATACATATATATATATACCATTAAATGATAACTAAGGAGCCAGGGGCAGGTGGTGAGTTGGAATAAGATCTGGCTTTAGTGTTAGGCAGCCCTGTATTCAAATCCTGTCTCCACCTACTAGCTAGACCTACTAGCTCGATGACCGTAGAGCTACTTAACTGCCCTGAGCCTTAGTTTCCTCATTCGCAAAATGGAGCCCTAATAGCACCTACCTCACACAGTTGTTTCAAGAATTAGCAAAAACGATAGGCAACATACCCGCATGACACTGCCATCACCCTGCAACACCCACCCGGTCATCAGAGAGAACTGGGCAGAGCACCTCCTCTGGGCTGAGCCCAGCTCCCACAGCCCTGTGGTGACACCACCACCCACACGGTGGCCACAGCTGAGGGGCCCTGACCCCCATTCCTCTATTACAGCATCCTTCTGGATGAGGAGGGCCACATCAAACTCACTGGTGAGTGGAGGGCGCCTGCCCTCTTGGGCCCCAGGGGAGGGCAGAACAAGGTCCTGATAGGTCTCGGCTGAGTGCTGGGAGCTCGTTCTTCCCGAGAGGCTGTGCCAGTTACTTGGAAGTGGTCAGAAATCCAAGCCTCAGACTTGGAACACCATCGGTTGGAATCCCAGACCCTCATTGTGTAACGTTGGGGAAGTCACCTGACCTCTCAGGGCCTTAGCTTCCTCCTGAGTGTCATGGGGGTTATGCCTTCCAGCCTCTGGTCACAGGAGCTGGGTGTGCAGTGGGTGGCAGCAAGGAAGACAGGGATTCTGAGATGTATCCTCCTGCCCTCCCTGCTGTAGACTTTGGCCTGAGCAAGGAGGCCATTGACCACGAGAAGAAGGCCTACTCCTTCTGCGGGACAGTGGAGTACATGGCCCCCGAGGTCGTCAACCGCCAGGGCCACTCCCACAGTGCAGATTGGTGGTCCTATGGGGTATTGATGGTGAGTGCCCAGACAAGGATAAAGGATCCCACCCAAGCCTCTGGCCTCAGTCTCCCCATCCGTACAGTGAGGGGGTTGATCTTCTCTAGGGCTCTCCCCGTCTCCTCTCACAGCCATGCTGGCTTCACCCTACACACAGCTGCAGTTTTCTTCCTTGGAAGATCCCAGGCTTAACCCCATCTGGGACATGCCTAACTCAGTGCTGGGCTTCTCCCCAGCCTCGTGCCCCCACTGCTGCACCTACCTGGTGGTCTGGTTATCGAGGCAAGAGGGACAGACATAATTCTTGCTCCAGGTGGACTTGGATGATCCTGGGACTAGGGCAGAGGGGCCGAGATGGGGGGAGGTGGGAGGTGTGGGGGAGTCAGGGATCAGCTCCTGAATAGACCCTTGTCCTCTGTAGTTTGAGATGCTGACGGGCTCCCTGCCCTTCCAGGGGAAGGACCGGAAGGAGACCATGACATTGATTCTGAAGTAAGTCCTAGCCCTGCCCTGATACCAATGGACTCTCCCAGGCCGGGCGCGGTGGCTCACCCCTATAATCCCAGCACTTTGGGAGGCCAAGGTGGGTGGATCACGAGGTCAAGAAATTGAGATCATCCTGGTCAACATGGTGAAACCCGTCTCTACTAAAAATACAAAAATTAGCTGGGCATCGTGGCGCGCACCTTTAGTCCCAGCTACTCGGGAGGGTGAGGCAAGAGAATTGCTTGAACCCAGGAGGTGGAGGTTGTGGTAAGCCGAGATCGCGCCATTGCACTCCAGCCTGGGTAACGAGTGAAACTCCGCCTCAAAAAAAAAAAAAAAAAAAACAATGAACTCTCCCAAGCCCCAGGCCCCAGGCCCAGTGGGGGTCAGAATATTACCCTGTCCCTGCCTCAGATTCCCTCACTAATGAGACACTCCTCTGGGTTAAACATTACTTCCAGCCCGGGCGAGTTGGCTCACACCTGTAATCCCAGCACTTTGGGAGGCTGAGGCGGGCAGATCACAAGGTTAGGAGTTCAAGACCAGCCTGGCCAACATGATGAAACCCCGTCTCTACTAAAAATACAAAAATTAGCTGGGCATTACAGGTGGCACATGCCTGTAATCCCAGCTACTCATGAGGCTGAGGCAGGAGAGTTGTTTGAACTGGGACCCGGGAGGTGGAGGTGGCAGTGAGCCAAGATTGCACTACTTGTACTCCAGCCTGGGCTACAGAGTGAGACTCCATCTCCAAAAACAAAAAACAAAAAAGATGATAACTTCCAGAACCCCTCTTTCCTCCATGGGGGACTGTGGGTGGGCTCCCTGAATTCTGTGGGAAGTAAATTAGTGGATGGCTTGTCTAGACTGAGCTGGGAACTGGGCCTGGACAGGGCTGGGGGAAGATGGGGCCTCTGGGGTGGGGCTCAGCCCTGATGAGTCCCGGGGGCTGTTTCAGGGCGAAGTTAGGCATGCCCCAGTTTCTGAGCACTGAAGCCCAGAGCCTCCTGCGGGCCCTATTCAAGCGGAATCCTGCCAACCGGCTCGGTAAGTAACCCCAGCTCAGGGGAGGGGATGTGGCGGTGGGGAGCTGGGTACAGCTGCAGCCTGGGCCACGGGGCCACATCTGGGCTGAAAGGGGCCGTTGTCCTTTGTGTGGGCAGACAATGCCGCGGGCCACCCTGCCTTCTGGCTCCATGTGTGGTGTTGTGGAGCGGGGGGTTGACCTGTGTGTAGGGGGAAGGCAGGAACTGAGTCATCCCTACTCCCTCTGGGGACAAGGACAGAGGCCCCCACACAGCTTCTCCGCCAAGGCTGCTGGCACAAGAGGAAGAGCATGAGCTCAGGAATCAGAAGGCACAGGTCCCAATCCCGCCTCTGTGTCAGGTCCCCACTGCCTGGCACGAAGCAGTCCCTCCATAAATATTTTTTAAACAAATGAGGCCATTTATGAACTAAGTGACCCCGGGCAGGTGACTTCACCTGTCTGTGCCCCAGGTTCCTCATCTCAATGGGGGATGATGATCCCAAGCTTGCTTCAGGGCTCTGTTGATTACATGAGGTTTTGTGAGCACACCTGGCGTGTAGTAGGTGTTCAGTATGTGTTGGCTTCCCTGGCTCCTGGGTTCATCTGGTTCATGACCAGCTATGTAAGGTCCAGTCCAGGCCCCTGGGGTCGAATGGAGTGATAGCCTGTCCCATGGTTGAAAAGGTCAATGGGTTAAGACGAACAGAGATGGGGCCTGCAATGGAATGAGGTGGGGCTCTCTGTGGGTCTCAGGACAAGCCTCAGCTTCTGTCCTGACAGTGTGGCCTTGGAGAAGTTACCTAAATTCTCTGGGCCTTCCTTCTCCCATTAGTATATTGGAGCTTCTTCATCATAGGCTCCAGAAAGTGGAAAATGCTGAGTGGGTGCCAGGCCTTAGGGTGATGGCTGGGCAGATTTGGGCAGGGTGAGCCCATTTTCCCCTCTGCCCCAGCAGCTGGTCCCAGAGCTCTGTGAGGCTGCTTGGTGGGCAGGGTGGTGTCTGGGAGTTGCACCATCCAGGGACAGACCCTTCATTTGGGCTCTTTCAGGCTCCGGCCCTGATGGGGCAGAGGAAATCAAGCGGCATGTCTTCTACTCCACTATTGACTGGAATGTGAGTGTGTCCACCCACGCCAATGCTCTGGCCAGGCCTCCAGCCATCTTGGCCACAGGAAGGGTGGTGGGAGGGGAGCCTCTGCCAGCGAGGGCCCCAGATGCAGGAGCAGAGGGTAACAGCATCCCCTTGAAGACAAGGCTGGCCTCCTGAGGGCAAGTAATCATGCCCTTGTCTGCTGGGCAACATGGCCTATGTTCCAGGCCCAGCACCTCCTCCTGCCTGGGACTCCCGGTGGGCTGTTGGGGATGCTGTGGTGACCAGAGTGCCCACCCCACTGTGCAGAAGCTGTACCGTCGTGAGATCAAGCCACCTTTCAAGCCAGCAGTTGCTCAGCCTGATGACACCTTCTACTTTGACACTGAGTTCACATCCCGCACACCCAAGGGTGCGTCCCTTATTTGTTTTGTCTGTCTTGAGCTGGTACAAGAGGGAAGCTGGGAGTCGGTGGCACCTTGAGGGGCAGAGATAGTCAGGGACAGTGACAGGCCGAGGTGTGTGGGTGGGCAGGCGGGTGAGTTTCTGGCTCCGTGGGACTCTGACTTTGTCCTTGTCTCACTCTGCCTGGCTCTCTCACTCTGGGGCTCTGTGGATCTCTTTGTGTCTGGTGAGAGAGTGGGAGTGGGGGGGTGTGGGTGGTGAAGGCCACAGTAGAAAAGTCAGGACCTCTGCCCCAGGCACCTTCTAGCCCACGGGGAAGACCAAACACACAGGCTTACCATCACGTCAGGGATAAAGAATCTGACTCAGCCACACTGTGTGGTGGAAACAGTTTGGCTGAGCAGAGGTGACAGTGCCCATAGGTCAAGGACAGGCATGGGAATCAGCTTTGGCTGCTCTGACTGCTGGGCCTCAGTGAACTTATCTGGAACAAGGGCACAGCCACAAACCCATGCATTCCCTGGGGTTGCTGCAAGACGCCAGTGAGGGAGCTTCTGGGAAGGAGCCTGGTAAATCGTAACTTTCTGGCCAGATATTGTCAGTGGGTGGTGGGTAGAGTGTTAGTTTTGGGAGGCCTCCTATTAGGGCATGTTTTAGGAGAGGGGGTGCTTTTCTCACTGCAGCTTGCACACCTCTGATGACAGGCAGCCCAGCACTTCTCCACATAGTCCACTGGGCAGCGTGACAGGTGCAGCTTCACAGGGGTCAGGGGCCGGAGGAGCATCAGCCAAGGCTTCTCAAAGGAGGAGCGTGTGAGCTGTCTTGAAGGATAGGCAAGGAGTGGATTAGTTAAAGGGAACAGTGTGTGCAAGGGCTCAGAGACCCCTTTAGGGATCTGGGAAGTCCAACATGGCTCAGCTGTGGCGTGGAGAGAGAGATGAGGATCACAAGGCTCTCAACTGCCAGACTCAGGAGCTGGGCTTACTCCCAAAAGCAGAGGGGAACCTTTGAAAGGTGCAGGTAGGGGGCAGATTTGTGCTTGGAACCTTCTCTCTGGCTGCCGTGCAGAGGTAGACCTGAAGGGGCTGACATAAGACAGGGAAGCTGGGGAGGAATATCCAGGAAGTGGTGAACTGTCGGCCAGTGAAGGTGGGAGTCATTTATGTTCCTCATGGGTCAGGACTGGACTGATCTAAACACATATGAGCAGTTAGGCTAATGCCTAGGATGGACGGGCCCCTTGCAGGCTCCCACCATGGCTAGCTACTGAGGCAGATCTGGAGGCCCTGTGCTCTCCCTTTGCTGGGCTGGCTCAGGGTAGAGGATACCTCCTCAGGCTCACATTCCCCTCCCGTCCCTACAGATTCCCCAGGCATCCCGCCTAGCGCTGGGGCCCATCAGCTGTTCCGGGGCTTCAGCTTCGTGGCCACTGGCCTGATGGAGGATGACGGCAAGCCTCGTGCCCCACAGGCACCCCTGCACTCAGTGGTACAGGTGAGGGGGGTAGGGGCTGCTGAGCCATTCTCCTTTTCTAGCTCCTCAGCAGAATGGCTGAGAATACAGGCTGAGTTAGACAGAACCAGGTTCATACCCTCATGCCACTGTGGGACCCGTAGGGCGTCCAACATAAAACAGGGACAGTAAGGCCCACCTCACACGGTGGCCCTGATAATTGGATAATGATATGGATATACGTTTCCCAGCACAAGGCCAGGGTCTGAGTATATGCCAGGGGGTTCCCAGGGTGGTGGTGCAGAGTGACTGTCATGTCTCTGACAGGAGGGTAGCAAAGGACTTGTGTCTCTTTCCACTTGTTCCCCATTTGTACACTTTCACTGCTTCATGAAAGTTTTGGGTTGAGAGGCAAGGATATAGACTCTAGAGCTCATTGCATGGGCTCCAGATTCACAAGATAATGGACTTTGGGTTTTTTGTTTTGTTTTGTTTTGTTTTTTTTAAGAGACATAGTCTTGCTCTATTGCCCAGGCTGGAGTGCAGTGGCACAAACTCAGCTCACTGCAACCTCCACCTCAGCTTCAAGTGATTCTCCTGCCTCAGCCTCCTGGGTAGCTGAGACTACAGATGCACGCCGCCACACCCAGCTAATTTTGTTTTTTGTTTTTTTTAGTACAGAAAAGGTTTCACCATGTTGGCTAGGCCAGTGTCAAACTCTTGACCTCAAGTGATCCGCCCACCTCAGCCTTTCAAAGTGCTGAGATTACAGACATGAGCAACTGACCAGATAATGGATTTCGGATGAGACACTTCCCTTCATGGTGCCTCAGTTTCCTCATCTGTAAATGGGGGAAATGATAGAAGCTTCCTCCATAGAGTTGTTATGAGGATTATTAGAGTTAATATATGTAAAGTTAAGGTGGGCTGGGCATGGTGGCTCATGCCTGTAATCCCAGCACTTTGGGAGGCCAAGATGGGTGGATTGCTTGAGGACAGGAGTTTAAACAGACCAGTCTGGTCAAAATGGTGAAACCCATCTCTACTAAAAATACAAAAATCAGCCGGGCATGTTGGCACATACTTATAGTCTCATCTACTTGGGAGGCTAAGACACGAGAATTGCTTGAATCCAGGAGATGGAGGTTGCAGTGAGCCAAGAATGCACCATGGCAGTCCAGCCTGGGTGACAGAGCAAGACTCTGTCTCAAAAAATAAATAAATAAAATTTAAAAATAAAGTTAAAGTGACTATGTCATTTATTTTCCAAACTGGGACATCTTTCTTTATCCAGGACAAATACTAAATCAGACTGCAGGCACGGACTGCAGGCCCAAACCAGGGCTGTCCGCGGGGCGTGCAGTCACCTGATGAAAGTGCTTAGAATAGTGCCGGGCACACAGCACACGCTAAACACCCATTGAGCATTGCTATGGCTAATGTCCCAGAACCTTGAGATGAGCTGTGACACCCAGAAAGGGGAGGCAACTCACTCAAAGCCATAGTTAGTAGCAGAGCTGGAACTCAGCTCAGGGCTCCTGCATCCCTCCCAGGCCTGCTCAGGTTTTTCAGAACTAAAGACCTCTCCATGTGTGTTGTGACCCTCTTGCCCACTCCCTACACTGCCTTCTGACCACAGGCTGCAGTCCAGGCAGGCTGGGAGCCAGCAAGTATGCCCGTCATATAGAATAGAAAACTGGCCGGGCGTGGTGGCTTCCACCTGTAATCCCAGCACCTTGCGAGGCAGAGGTGGGCGGATCATGAGGTCAGGAGATCAAGACCATCCTGGCCATGGTGAAACCCCGTCTCTACTAAAATTAAAAATTAGCCGGGTGTGGTGGTGCACACCTGTAGTCCCAGCTACTCAGGAGGCTGAGGCAGGGGAATCGCCTGAATCCGGGAGTCAGAGGTTGCAGTGAGCCAAGATTGTGCCACTGCACTCCAGCCTGGCGAAAGAACAAGACTCCATCTCAAAAAAAATAAAAGAAAACTGAGGCCCAGAGAGGGGTAGGCTCTCACCTGCAGTCACATGGCTAGCACTCCACCCCAAGCCTCCTGGCTCTTTCCTGGTGCCGTCTCTACTGAGCTAAGACCTTGGGTGCTGGGGGATGACCCCTGGCACTCTGGAGCCAGGGGTCAGCCACAATTTTTGGTCTCCTACAGCAACTCCATGGGAAGAACGTGGTTTTTAGTGACGGCTATGTGGTAAAGGAGACGATCGGTGTGGGCTCCTACTCTGTGTGCAAGCGCTGTGTCCACAAGGCCACCAACATGGAGTATGCTGTCAAGGTGGGCCTCCTGAACATGTCTTGGCCAAGGCTGCCGGGCTGGGGGCAGGTCCCCATCTGGCAGGGAGGGGTGGTGCCTGAGCTCTGCAGATGGACGAAAGGTGTGTGGCTGAGACCTCCAGGCCTGCTCCGTATCAGGGGAGGATCCTGGAGCCTGTCACACTGACACTGCCATGTGCATGCCCCTTTCTTCAGGTCATTGACAAGAGCAAGCGGGATCCTTCAGAAGAGATTGAGATTCTTCTGCGGTACGGCCAGCACCCCAACATCATCACTCTGAAAGATGTGAGTGGGGTCCTTGAGACTGGGGTGGGGACCAGGAACTCAACTCTCCAGGATTTGTGTCAGGTTTTCCATTCCTTTGACTTCTCATCCTCCTTCCAGTGCTCATGGGAAGGTGAAGGAGGACCCGTGGTCTCTGCAGTCTGGCCATACCCCAAGGGCCCTCCTTCAGACTCAAGCATTTTCTGAAGACCTTGCCTATCAGGGGACCAGTGTCAGCATCCTCTTTTCGGGGAGGGCAGGGCCACTGAAGTGCACAGCAGAACACATGCCTAAGGCTCATGTCATTCTTCCCTGCTCTGGGATGCTGCTGACTAGGGCGCCCAGGCCTGACACTGGGGAGAAGAGCCTGACGGTGAGGTCTTTGGCAGGTGTACGATGATGGCAAACACGTGTACCTGGTGACAGAGCTGATGCGGGGCGGGGAGCTGCTGGACAAGATCCTGCGGCAGAAGTTCTTCTCAGAGCGGGAGGCCAGCTTCGTCCTGCACACCATCGGCAAAACTGTGGAGTATCTGCACTCACAGGGGGTGAGTCTGGATTCGGGGAGGTGGTAGGGGAATGCCAAGGGTTATATCATCAGCAGAGCACATGAACCACATGCTGGCCCAGGAATGGCAGCCTCCAGCCAGCTAAACTGAGGGGAGACTAGGGCTGGGTGGGTGGATGCATGCAAAGGAGGGAGGGAGAGATGTGGCCAAATTGTGAAAGGGAAGACATGGAAAGTTATTCAGTATCCACTGTGTACCAGGCACCATGGAAAGGCTTCGCGTAACATGAAATTTCCAGGCCAGACACAGTGGCTGACACCTGTGACCCCAGCACCTTGGGAGGCCAAGGCAGGTGGATCACTTGAGGTCAGGAGTTTGAAACCAGGCTGGCCAACATGGTAAAAGCCTGTCTCTACTACAATACAAAAATATTAGCTGGGCGTGTAATCCCAGCTACTCGAAAGGCTAAGGCAGGAGAATGGCTTGAACCTGGGAGGTGGATGTTGCAGTGAGCAGAGATCATGCCATGGCACTCCAGTGTGGGCAACAGAGCAAAACTCCGTCTAAAAGATAAATAAATAAATAAGATAAAGTTTCCTTACATTAGCTCAATTGATTTTCACAACAGCTCTGAGATAGATGCTGTTATTGGCCCCACTTCATAGGTAAGAAGACTGGAGCTCAGAGATGAAAGGTCATTTGCTCTAGGTCACTTAGTCAGGGAAGAATGGAAGGATTTCAAACTGAAGAATTTAGGTAAGGAGTGGCTTTTGAGTTAGGAAGCGTCAGGTTCACTGTGGGGGAGCTGCAAGGCTTCAGGGAGGTGAATTTGACTATGGGTTCAGTTGCTAAGGCAGAGGAAATGGATGCTGGAGGGAATTCTGCTGGAAATGTAGCAGGGACTGCAGAAGAGGTGTAGGTCCAAATGGCAGAGTTCAGCCTTCATTACTGCACAAGGCAGGTGAGCACTAGATGACAGTGAGTTAGGAAAGTTCAGTATAGTGTATTCAAGCCCAAAACAGTAGCATTAGCTTCTCTCTGAGGTGTTTTAGGGTGCTCTTGATCAGACAGCGTGGGGGTTAAGAATGCGGGCTCCAGAGTCCACTTGGCTGAGTCCAGGTCTTGGTGTATGAGGTTGTTGCTTGTTTTCACATAGTACCCAGTCCATAGACACAGTTCCCCTACTGTCTTTTTTTTTTTCAGATGGAGTTTTGCTCTTGTTGCCCAGGCCGGGGTGCAATGGTACGATCTCGGCTCACTAAAACCTCCGCCTCCTGGGTTCAAGCGATTCTCCTGCCACAGCCTCCCAAGTAGCTGGGATTACAGGCATGTGCCACCTCGCCCGGCTAATTTTGTATTTTTAGTAGAGACAGGGTTTTTCCATGTTGGTCAGGCTGGTCTCAAACTCCCGACCTCAGGTGATCCACCTGCCTCAGCCTCCCAAAGTGCTGGGATTTACAGGCGTGAGCCACTGTGCCCAGCTTTTTTTTTTTTTGAAACGGAGTTTCGCTCTTGTTACCCAGGCTGGAGTGCAATGGCGCGATCTCAGCCCACCGCAACCTCCACCTCCTGGGTTCAGGTGATTCTCCTGCCTCAGCCTCCTGAGTAGCTGGATTACAGGCACCCACCACCATACCTGGCAAATTTTTTTGTATTTTTAGTAAAGACAGGGTTTTCACCATGTTGGCCAGGCTGGTCTCAAACTCCTAAGGTGATCTGCCCACCTCGGCCTCCCAAAGTGCTGGGATTACAGGCATGAGCCACCGCACCCACCCGCCGTTGTGCTTTCAAAAATGTCTTTGTTGATTGGTTTATTGAAATTACAATATCTGCAAGGTCCACACATTTCATTCAGTGGATAAGTCTCTCTCTTTTTTTTTTGAGACAGGGTCTCACTCTGTTGCTCAGGCTGAAGTGCAATGACACAATCAAGGTTCACTGCAGCCTCAACCTTGGGCTCAAGTGATCCTCCCACTTCAGCCTCCCAAATGGTGGGACCACAAGCATGAACCACCACACAAAATACAAAAAAAAAATACAAAAAATTTTGTATTTTTTGTAAAGATGGGGTTTTGCCATGTTGTCCAGGCTTGTCTTGAACTCCTGAGCTCAAGTGATTGCCCACCTCGGCCTCCCACAGTGCTAGGATTACAGGTGTAAGCCATTTTACCCAGCCTCTTTAAAAAAAAAAAAAAAAAAAGGCTGGATGCGGTGGCTCACACCTGTAATCCCAGCACTTTGGGAGGCCGAGGTGGGAGGATCACGAGATCAAGAGATCAAGACCATCCTGGCCAACATGGTGAAACCCCGTCTCTACTAAAAAATACAAAAATTAGCTGGGTGTGGTGGCACGCGCCTGTAGTCCCAGCTACTCAGGTGGCTGAGGCAGGAGAATTGCTTGAACCCAGGAGGCGGAGATTACAGTGAGCTGAGATTGTGCCACTGCACTCCAACCTGGCACCTGGCGACAGAGCGAGATGCTGTCTCAAAAAAAAAAAAAAACCTGGAGGAAAATTCGCATACAGTAGATTTCAAGGGTCCATTTTGATGAGTTTTGTTAAATGTGTTACACCCATGTCACCTCCAGAGTTAGATCTCCCTTTTTTCTGCCACCAACTTATTGAATATCAGTTCTGTGGAATGTCTCACATTCTGAATTTGTCTGTTGGCTGCCTCCTGGCATCATTTACATTATTTCTCCATTGCCTATATTTCCTGTAAACTGCAAGTTGCTGTAACATAATTATTGGCTTTAGCTTTTTGCGGGGGACGGGAATAAGGTTCAGATGGCTAAGGTTGGGCCGAGTGTGGCAGCTCATGCCTGTAAACCCAGTACTTTGGGAAGCCAAGGTGGGCAGATTACTTGAGGCCAATAGTTCAAGACCAATCTGGCCAATATGGTGAAATCCCATCTCTACCAAAAATACAAAAATTAACAGCATGGTGGCGTGTGCCTGTAATCCCAGCTACTCTGATGGCTGAGGCACAAGAATCACTTGAATCTGGGAGGCAGAGGTTGCAGTGACCTGAAATCACACCAATGCACTCGAGCCTGGATGACAGAGCAAAACCCTCTCTCAAATAAAAAATAAAAATAAAAAAGAAGGCCGAGATCATCCCCTCTATGGAGGTACACTTACTTCACAGTGCATCACATCCACAAGCCCACAGTATCACGCTGCCTCCCTTTAGTCATGGCAGGTGGTAACCGTCCGATCTCCTTATTGTAAAGATCCTTATCTAGGCCAGGTGTGGTGGCTCACGCCTGTGATCCCAGCACTTTGGGAGGCTGAGGCAGGCAGATCACGAGGTCAGGAGTTCAAGACCAGCCTGGCCAAGATGGTGAAACCCTGTCTCTACTAAAAATGCAAAAATTAGCCGGGCGTGGTAGCACATGCTGTACCCCAGCTACTCAGGAGGCTGAGGCCAGAGAATCACTTGAACCCTGGAGGCGGAGGTTGCAGTGGGCCAAGACCATGCCATTACACTCCAGCCTGGGCAACAGAGCTAGACTCCATCTCAAAAAAAAAAAAAAAAAAGATCCTCATCTGATGGTTTCATCCTTTCAGAATCTTGCCTGAGTTTAGTATTTCATTAGGTTTGTGAAAGTGGCAATGTCTGATTATGTCTAATTTTTTAGGAGAAATTCTGTTAAAAAGAACTTTACCTCTTAACCAAAGCTCCAATTTGGTTACCCTCTGTGCATCATGTTTGAAGTGGCTTTGGTTTCTGAAATCCCAGTGCAATAGACTAATATTTAACATGTCAGGCCAAAGAGTAAATGTGTTTCCTTTTTCTGTTTTGTTCTTAAGTGAGTACTCATTAAACTTAAGAAGGTTTAGAAAACAGGCAAGCCAGTGTACCTGTGGGTCACCTGAAGCTCAGAGCAAGGAGGAACTTGGTGAAGAGGCACCCTCCAGAGGCAGTGAGCCCTTTCCACTAGGGATGTGCAAAGCTCCAAGTATAGATAAGCACTTGGTGAGGATGTTGCTGGAGGAAGTTGTCTCCTTCCCAAAGCTAGGAATGTTTGTATCTTCAGAGTTTCTGGCTCTTTGCTAATACCGGAGCAGATGATGAGGAATGGGAAGCTCTTGTTGAGATATTTGGAGGGGTTACTCTGGGTTGATTTGTCAGCAGCAGTAGCTGTGGTCTGTAAACTGGGAATCCTACAGGAGCTGAGGGATGGGAAGGGGATGACCAGGGAGCAGGGCCCATTTGGACCCCTATTTGTTTTAATATTGTCTTTGTATTGAAGCATTGCATAAACACCGAGAAGTACACAAATCATAATGGACAAGTCAACAAATTTTCAAAAAGTGAATATACCTGTATAACCAGTACCCAGATCAATAAAGCACTTTCAGTTCTTCTAGAGCCCACCCACCCGAGGATAACCAGCCTAAGCTAAATTCTAATAGGTTCATTTTGCCCGTTTTTTAATTTCTTTTTTCTTTTCTTTTCTTTTCTTTTTTTTTTTTTTTGAGATGGGGTTTTGCTCTTCTTGCCCAGGCTGGTGTGCAGTGGCGCTGATCTCACCTCACTGCAACCTATGCCTCCCAGTTTCAAACAATTCTCCTATCTCAGCCTCCCAAGTATTATAGGCACCCGCCACCACATCCAGCTAATTTTTTGCATTTTTAGTAGAGACAAGATTTCACCATGTTGGCCAGGCTGGTCTCAAACTCCTGACTTCAAGTGATCCACCCACCTCAGCCTCACAAAGTGCTGGGATTATAGGTGTGAGCTACCGTTCCCGTCCCCATTTTTGAATTTCATAAAAACATTCTCTTTTGTATCTGGCTTCTGCCATTCAGTGTTGTCTTTGACATCCATCTACGTTGTTTTGGGGCTGCTATTCATTCATTTTCATTGCTGTGTAAAACTCTACAGACCACGATTAATTGTCCATTCTGGCCGGGCGCGGTGGCTCAAGCCTGTAATCCCAGCACTTTGGGAGGCCGAGGCGGGTGGATCACGAGGTCAAGAGATCGAGACCATCCTGGTCAACACGGTGAAACCCCGTCTCTACTAAAAAAACT